TGGCAGCTTTAGCTTTTTCTAAAATCTCTGGTGCGTTGCTCATAATTTCATCACGTTCACTACTAAAACAAACATATTCGTTAAGTTGAGAAAATGTTAGGATACAATCATATTTTGTTACAAAAATTTGACAATACAAATGGCATGACGTTTATTTCCATAACATGCTATAAGAAAACGCGACATTTTTTGAAATATTGTATAATAGTTGCCGACATTTAGGGGCACCACTCTTTTCATCTAAAATGTATCTCGCTAATAATAAAAGTTTTTATGTTTTTTAGGCTCAATTCCACCGATGTACAGTTAAACCATACATAACTAAACGACCCATAAATTTTAAACTCTGTTTAGATATGTCATATGTCATTCTAGAGATTTTGTTGTTATTTTTCACTCTGCGGTTTTTTTAATAAGAGTTAAAATATTTTTATTGTTTATCTTTGTGAAATAAAAAATATATAACTTTTCGGTTTTGGTAAATTAAAAAGTTTAGTTATCACATAACCTATTTTGATTTTGTTTGTTTTTGTGGTGTGTTGTGATTTACGAAAATGGATTCAGAAGACGAAATTTTAGAAAATGATTTAGACATCTTAGAAATAATTCAATTTGGTTTCCCAAGAAGAACATTAACTAGACCAGATTATTTTATTGATATGGACGATTTAACCTTTTTTAGAAGGTTTCGGTTGACCAAGGAAACTGTGTTAAGAATTCTCGAACTGATAGAAGCTGATTTGGAGTTTCCTCATGATTTGTAAGTATTTATTTCGTTTGGGAATAAAATGTTGATGTTTATTTTTTTTTGTTCCTATATATAACTATTATTTATTACAGAAACCACAGTGTATCTCCCATAAATCAACTCCTGGCCACATTACGGTTCTACTCAAGTTCTGGACACTTGGCAAGTATTGCCGATTTTAGTGGAATGGCTATATCATCTACCTCAAGAATCATCAAAAAAGTGTCTTGTTCACTGGCAGGATTATACAATCGTTTTGTCAAGATGCCTAGTCCAGAAGACATCATTCATGTACAAGCAGATTTTTTTAGAATTGCGTCTTTTCCTAGAGTACTAGGTGCAATTGATGGAACACACATTCGCATTCAATCCCCAGGTAAAAATTATTTAGTTTTTGGTTGGTTTAGTACTTATAATTTATACTCTACTAGGAATCCAATATTAATGGAATTATTATTGGGTCATTGTCTAGTTTGAACTTTTTTCGCTTATGAAATTATTTATTATCAAAAATACAGCAATTCAGTTCTAATAATTTTCCTTGCCCTAACAATATTTTATAATATAACTTTTGTTGTTGTTTTACCCACCCAAAACCCCTATTCACTTCCTTTTCCGTAAAATTGATATTACCTTAAAAAAATTCATATTTTTATTTATAAAACTATTTGTGTCCTTATTAACTTGCACAAGATGTAGAACTTAGGTTTTTTGTTTACAACAGCAATATCTCCAAGTACATATGCTTAGTTTTTCCGTAATTGAAAAGAGCTTAACTTAGAAATGTCTAGTTTGAGCTCTTTTATTATTGTTATGACAGATCAAAACACTATTAATATTTATCTATGTGTTTCTAGGTGGATTAGATGCCGAGGTTTTTAGGAACCGAAAAGGATTTTTTTCAGTAAATACACAAATAATATGCAATGCCAATTTGAAATTACTTGATGTAGTAGCTAGGTGGCCAGGTTCAGCACACGACAATACCATATTTCTTAATAGTACAGTTCGAAGAAATTTTGAAAATGGAATGTATCCAAACTGTGTCTTAATGGGTTAGTCTCCAATTTATAGCATTAAATCTACTGACTTCTGTGATTAACATTACTATAAATAATTTTTATTTTCATTATAATATGATTGAGAAGCTTAGATCCAAAGAGAGTGGTGATTGTATTGTAATATATCTTCATTACAGAACACCAAATAACTAACTTTGACTTTAGCAACTTGTCAGAATACAGAATTTATGGTATATATAATGTTACTTTATCAGAAAGTTATTAAAAAACTATTTAAAAAACTAATAATTTGAAAAAACATTTTTTGAAATTTAAATGATAATTACGTGGCAATTCTAAAAATATATTATAATAGAATTTTTTTTTAGCTGATAGTGGTTATGCACAGAAAAATTATCTGGTAACACCAGTTGCAGATCCAATAACAAGAAAGCAAAGGCTTTACAATGAATCCTTGGTAAGAACTAGAAATACAGTAGAGCGTACAATTGGAGTATGGAAAAGGAGGTTCCCAGTTCTTGCTTATGGCCTAAGGTTGAAAATAGATACAATACTTGCTGTTATTCCTGCAACTGCTGTGCTACATAACATTGCTCTAGCCATGAATGAGCCTGAGCCACCACCAGCTTATGATATTAATATTGAAGAGTTAAATTATCTAATAGAAGTAGATGGTGTACCAGATGTTCCAGTACAAGCAAATATACTCTATCAAAATTTACTTGTTAATGAATATTTTGACCATTTGTAATTGTGTGTGTACAGTGGTAAAGTCTTAGATTTATTACCCGTGAGTTCGAGTAGAAACTCAGATTGCTCGGAGTTCATTTTCGGAGTGTGATTGTCGCGTTCGATATTTCAATGAATGGCACATATTATTTATTGTTCTGTGGGTTTGTGCTGGGTAATATTTGTATTTTAAAATTATTTAACTCTTATAGATTATTATAAGTAAATTCTGAAAGTTTATTTTATGTTATTCTATTGTAATGCATAATAATTAACTGACCGTTGACTGACATAATAGATTAAGGTTATGATTTTTACTCTGAGTGACAGAATGGGTTCGAGATGTTACTACATTCGCTCTCTGACTTGACAGGACTCTTCTCATGCCCTGCCCACTCCATATGGCGTCATATGGAACTTGCCCTACATTATGTTATTATGTCAGGTGGCAGTTATCAAAATAATTTTAAATTTGTCAATTTGTTAAAAATTTGTATATTTTAATATTTGAAAAGTTTTTAAGTATTCAACAAAATTGTGGAACGATTTAGTTGCACAAAATATAAAATGGTTGCAAGAAAAGAGCATTAATTATCCAATCAATGGTATGAAAAATCAGATTTGGGAAGTTGTATATCAATATCTACCAAAAAAGAAATTCTACCTACATAGATATTACTTTGAGAAATATGAGTATGAAATATTAAGAATTCCTCCATATTACTGCCAGTACAATGCGATAGAGATGGTGTGGTCACAGTGCAGGAAAACATTTTAATAACAAAGTCGTCACTGGAAGATGTATTTCTGACTTGGTTGGAAGCTTTGAATAATGTTACCGATACTCAGTGGGACAATTATGTAAGACACTAAAAACATAATTGTTTCTGATTGGAAAAAAATATAAGCAATTAGATGTTTCTGATCTAGAACCAATTATTATTAATTTAGGTACAACGGTTAGTAGTGATGAGTCTGAATGAGAGTCCAGTTGTGATGAAAATGATATTGATTAAAAAAATTTATGAGTTATCTAATTTGCATCTGTTTTGGACTATCTTTAAAAATTCTAAAAACGCGAAAAACCAATGTTCAGCTGGGAAATTTATGTATAAAGTAAGAAAGTAAATTGTTCTAGTATTTGTAGACAAAATGCAAAACATACTCTTAATTTTACATAGCTAAGGGCCGATTCCACCGTTGTATTAAACGGAGATTAAAATGACATTGTTAATGTAAAAATGTCATTTTAAACTTCGTTTAACACAATGGTGGAAGCAACAACAAAGTGCAACTGAAATAAGAAGACAGGTGTAAGCTTTAACTAAAAATGCGGACTCAGGCTATTTCTATCACTATATACTGGCGTTTCATAAGTACGTCCTCGATAAAAGTAAAGATGTTAGGCGAGACACTTACCTTATTCGATAAATATAAAAATCGGCCGGGTCAACAAAAGTCAGTCTCATCCTAGTCACTCATGCAGGGAACAGAGGAATCTGGACATATTTCATAATAGTCTCTCTCCTATAGGGATCATATAAGTGCCAAATAGAAGCCTATATATAAATGTTTAGCCCATGGTAAGGCCTGTATATATTGTGAATAAATTGTTAATTGTTGTTTTGCTCTTTTATTTCCCCAAGTCAGGTAGCACATAGAGTCACTATTTAAAGTGACTCCATATCATGACCAAAGGGCCCGTGACAATATCAAATGATTAATATTTACTAAATAATTGTAGATCAGAAACGATTGTTAGGAGGGCACCGATTTTAAATAGATGAGATGAAAACCTACTGATGTTCAACTATTAGTAAGTAATGTAAATAGAATATTGCATAGGCAATTCAGAAATGTAATAGTATTAGGTTGAATTTGGAACTTTTTATAATATGAATTGAAACCAATTGTTTCTAATTTTCAATTTACATCAAAAATATCACTATAATGTATTATCTATAAATAAATAGTATGGAAACATTCCATTTGCCTTTTTTTTTGTACAAGTAATTTTTAAATGGAATACTTAGTACCTACATAATTTTTAAAGTATTGAATCAATCAAAAACAATATCTTCCTGTAGCTTAATCAGGAACTTGTGTTCGATTAATTGCACCTATTAATCTTGAGAAGGGGCACAAATTTTGTGCCTAAATTATATCATCTGTATTCGGCCTCTTAATACAGCAATAATTAATTAATCTTTGGCAATTGTGACAATGAACTTACACCATTTTGATAAGTATATTTTTCTTGGAAAATATTTTCAATAACTTTCAAAAACAAAGAAGAGTAACTGCTTATTTTGATTTGTTAAAGATAGAATATATTAATAATTAAAACAAATCATTTTTACAGGAAATACTTTATTTGGAATAAAAAAATAAAATGTAACAAAAATAAATAATATTCTATAAAAACAAAAATAATTAATATTCTATAAAAACAAAAAACTAGTTGCTAATAACAAATAAATTAACAGTTCAACAAAACCTAAAACTAATAAAAATAAAATACAAATTCTGTCATATAAAATTAAAATTATACAGCGCTTTTCACAATGAACTTCAGGTAGATGTGATTCAATTAATAAAAATGAAACGGTGGATGCTGGATGGTAACTACATACTGAGTTAAGTCAAAATATTTTTATACAAAACAAAGCACAAAAAAATGAAGCCCTGTTGCTTATTTGTCGAGTTGAATGCATACAATGTAAGAAAAAATAATAAGATTGTATGTTCAAGTTTTAAAATAAATCCTATGTAGTGTGATATAATGTACCAAATTTCTATTTTTTTTTTTTTTGAATCACTTCCTGAGAAACATTTAAATTAAGTTATTGTTAACAGACCTGTATATTCTAATTTTCATGTTTGGGTAGCTAAAAATATTTAAAAAAAAATAGTTTTAATTTTTTTTATCTAGTGAATTAAGTTGCTTTCTTTTTAGCAATACCTCTAGCTGAAGTAAGCGCTTTCTAATTTTGCCTTCTTCTATGTCTTGCTTTACTTTAGTTTCTTGGAAATTAGCAATATGTAATTTCTTATCAATAAGTTCATTATATTTTTTGGCTAAGTCAGATGAGGTCAATGCCCTTACTGTCTGCATTGGTCTACGCCTTCCAACATCAAGTTGGACTCTAGGTTGTCTGTTATCTTGAAGAACTTCATTATTCTTATTGTGGTTTAAATCAGGAGTCTGTTGAAGATTATTTATAACTACATCATTATCACAACTAGCAGTCTTTAAAGCAGGGTGCAAGGGGGACTTCAAATCCACTGGTGTATATTTTTTCCACGAGGATTGATTACACATCTAAAAAATGTATTATCAAACTTAAGAGAATTCACATACATAATATACATACCATAGATGGTTTTGATGGTCCTGCCAAATTTAATTCACAAATTACTTCTGGAACATCGTCAACAGTTCCTTGGGTGCTAGAATCACCCCCCCATGGGCTATTTAATCCATATAATGTTTTTTTGTTCATAATCGACATTAACACATCCTGACATGGATCATTAGGAATTTTGGGAGGGATCCCACCACCCGTTTTTTTTATTTCTACGTTTTCGTCTGCAACTCTTTTACGCACTTCTTTTTTTTTACTTTCATATAGTCTTTTAAGACTATCTTTGTTTCTATTATTATTAACTATTGAATTTGAATTAAATTCTTTCGTTATACTATCCCAGGCATCATTTTTCTGCTTTGTAGAAATGTGATCTGTTCTTTTATTTTCTAAAATATTGCAATATTTCGCAGCTAAATTTATTAGGAGCGCTTTCTCGTTAATGGAAAAATTTTCGGCTCTAGGTCTTTTCGGTTTGTCGTTCATTTTAATTTACCAAAACCGAAAAGTTATTTATTTTTTATTTCACAAAGATAAACAATAAAAATATTTTAACTCTTATTAAAAAAACTGCAGTGAAAAATAACAACAAAATCTCTAGAATGACATATGACATATCTAACCAGAGTTTAAAATTTATGGGTCGTTTAGTTATGTATGGTTTAACTGTACATCGGTGGAATTGAGCCTTAAATGACTAAATTTATGTAAATAGACCACATAAAGTCTTACGTAGACAAAAATTTGATTGCAGTTTGATTAAACCAAGAAATTTAAGTTTTCTTATCAAAATGCACGTGTATGTTATGAAATCTCATTACGTGCATGTTATTGTTAAATGTCATTTACAAGGAATGTTGATAGTGTGATTTTTAACGTTTACTGACATGGGTGTAGAAAAAATAAAATAACTACACATCTCATTTTCTTCATACAAATCAGAAATTCTTCATTAATTGTTGTCGTTTTACAACATAACCCGTTTAGTAACCTTTTGTGTAACATGTATACCATGTTTCAAAAACATTTTCAGTGAAATATTTAACTAAAATATTTCAGAAATTTGTGCTTGAAATATTATATATTTGAAACGTTTGAAATATTTCTGAAACATTTCTGAAATAATATGTGCTATATGGGGTAATTCCAAACTGTTTAGTGCAGCGGTTCTCAAACTATTTTGGTGACGGAACCTTTTTGAAACGCGAAATATTTGACGGAGCCCTAAACACATTTCTAAAAAAGTCCATATCGTCCTTCCTCTTAGTGACACGCTAAAAAAAAAGTTCCTCAAGCCAAGTCCTCCGAGTAAAATCCTCAAGCCAAGTCCTCCGAGTAAAATCCTCCTTGCTCTAGCCTCTTGCTAGGTCCCTCCCGTTTCTTTGCGGAGCCCCTACAACAACAAAAAAAGGTCCTCATACCAAAATCATATACTCCTTCATTTTCCTAACTAATAAAAAAAAAGTCCTCAAGCCAAGTCCCATTATTGTAGCGGTAGGTACTGCTTTTTTATTTCTTCGCGGAGCCCCCACAAAGGCTTTGCGGAGCCCCGGGGCTCCGCGGACCACACTTTGAGTAACGCTGGTTTAGTGCATCGAATACATTGTACTATATATAACCTTCAGTTTGAATTAAAAAAAAAAACAATATTATATTTTAAGATCGTAGGTATTTAATTAAATACAAACAAAATAATTCATTCATTACTAGCAAATAAGTTAATTTTAAAAAAAACAGAAATGAAAAATCTGAAGATTCTACTAGCAGAAAACCTATTTAAGCAACAACACATGAAAAAAAAAAACATCCAATGTCATGATTTATACTAGCGCACTAATCATTTGTAGTGCGCATGTCGTACACGTTTTATTTGTACATCGATCTCATTTTGACAGAGTAAGTGAACTGTGTTTATGCCGTTGGTGTTTATGCCGGTCGGCGTAGCCAGGTATGGAATAAAATTTTCTGGTGGCGACGAAGCCGCCACCCTACGAGAAGTCGTTGCTTCGTCTTCTTGTTGTCACGGCATTATTATTATTATTTGTTTATGTATGTGAAATTTGCTTTTAAGGTTTATAAAATACTACTGCTAGTCACGGCATAAATGAAAACAAACAAGACGCATTCACACAAAACACCTCCCACCACAGCAATTACAAAATAATTAGTGTTGTCCCGGATACGCGAATCCTCCAACATGCCTCTATGAATATTAAGACTAACAGAAGCGTTAAAAACACTATGTGTGCAGTGTTGTTTACATTCTAAGTTTTATTGTGTGTTTAAAAATATAACTTTCATAAAACTATACTATATCGACAATCATAGTGCAGCGTCCTGGCTACCATGTAAGTCATATGCAAGCGCAAGAACCTTACAGTCACCTTACAGTAACAGTAATTTAAAAATAAATATTCTTCATTCGACGCTGCGTAACTGTTATTAGCGTTCCAGTTACAGTTCGGTGATTTTATCCCTATTTGCTATTCCTACAAATTAAAAAAAAATAGCCGTATACTCAATAGAAAGAGACCACAATCATCACAGTCCGGGAAGAATTTATTGACGTTTTAACCTTACTTTTTTAATTTTCACATTAATCATGTTTTTAAACAAATCAAATGGATGAAGTAAATAAAAATGTAGCGCGCGGTCCAAAATATAATAGAAATTTCCATCATGGCACAGACCATCATGAAGGTTAGATCATTCAAAATTTAGTTTGTAATAGAATTATATTAAGCTTTCTTTTTAGTTCACAAAGATTGGAGAAATGAAATGAATAGACCAGATTATAATCGTCCTAGCTATGGATATAACAGTCCGGAGTACTGGTAAATATTTATATAACTATTTAATTAAAATCTTAACATGTAATAAAGTATTTATAATGTCCATAACTATGAGATGAGCATGCCTGTTGTATTTAAGAAAATTATCAAATAACTATAGACAAACTTATGAAATAAACAAGTGCAAACTACTACCTCTAAATTGAACCCATAAATTATTATTATTGTATATAGAAAGAATATATTAAGGAACATCTTGATGACACCAACATGTCAACATGATGCCATTTAAATGCTTTGTAACCACAGTTGCTTCCAAAATGTTTAATAAACACTGGTAAACATAAAAAATATAACCAATTTACATATATTTCGACTTAAAGTTAAACAATATGTTACTGTTAACATAGATTTATTTAAGGAGATTTTATAAATTGACTGATACACCCCCACCAAACATTGAAATAATTTTGTCACAACACATTTTGTAAATTTATACTTTAGTTTAATTTATTTGTATGCTATAACACACACCTAGGTGCTTATTTTTCATTCTTTAAGTTATTATTAAGTAACTAACTGTCAAATATAAAATGTATATGTAAATCTTAACAAAAAAATATGGAAAGAATATATTAACTACTTTAAAAGCAATAACATAAAATGTTTATTGTTTTCAAGCAATAATCAGAATTAATCTTCCCTTAGACTAAGGCCCATATTTATAAAGATTTCAGTTATATTGTGTGAATTTAGACATGGTAACAAAAATCTGTAAATGTACTTAACAGTTACGGATTTGCTACTGTCCATCTCTAAATTCCAGTGCCACACTGGAACCACCTGGAACTCTAGAGAAGTTATCGAAGTTCAATTTTCTGTCAAGGATGACTGAGCCAAGTCTGACTCGACTGAGATTGGATTATAAATACTAGCCTTAATGATTCCTCATTGTAGGCCAGTTGATAACTTGTATTCTTTGAATCCATCTCAGCCTAATAAAATTGTATGTAGAAACACTCACATTTCAAAGATTTTATCTCCAATAACATAAACAAAACTTTAAAATTTAAACATTCAAGTGAATAATTGATGTCCATAAAAAGTAGAATGGATAGTTTACAAATGGTATTTGTCTATTTATTAAAACAGATAAAAAGAAGAATACACAGTTATCCCATGCTGAACTCCTGAACTCAGAAATGATCTTATTGGATGCTCATAAGGTCTTAAGTCGCTTAGTTAAAAGTTGGCGAACTTTCTACTGTACGCAAGACTGTAGGATAAGTTCTTAACTTACATTACATACTAGAAGTGATCTTAAACCTCATCCCTCTACATTTAATGACAGAAAACGTAAAAAAAAGTAACTGAGTAATCAGACAAAAGTCTATTAGCTTTAAGACTGAAGATACTTGGGATATGCCCCACAAATATTTTATATTCCTTTGTATAGATTTGATAGTACTTTTAACGGTTGTATTCCTCAGATACTTAGATTTGCAAACTTTCTGGGTGATACTATATTTGATTCTTCTGTAAATAAATTTAATCATAAAATTCAAAATATACTAATGTAATTTTTATTGTATCTCAAATGGGCTTGCCCGTAAATACATAAATGGAATGAGAAAGAAATACAGTTTTGTGAAAAACTTCAAAATCACAGAGCAAGAAAAAATGGAGCAAAGAATCCATTTGGCTTGCAACCGAAAGACATGCTATTCAGTGGTATATGGATGGTTCCAAAACCATGTAAAGAACTGGAATAGGAGTGTATGGGCCTAGAACCAGGCACCTCTAATCACTGGAGGAGAGTCCTATTCTCTAATGAAATAAGAATATTTTTAAATAAATAACTGTTGATATATACCTACACCAGAAGTTCTTTATGTCTAGATTTCTGAGTTCTGTGATAATTTTGAATAGCAGTAGGTATATAAATATTTAACTGCCTGACGATGTAGTTAAAACTGTTGAGATAGAATCTTAATACTTTGTGAAATTTGCCATGGTGTTATAGAGAGTTTGGAAAATACAATTTTTTTTTGTTAATTTGAACTGTCATAGGTTTATTTGACATTTACTTATAAGCAGAGTTGACAATTTAAAAACTTATACCTAATAGGTATTTTCCTTTGCATCGAGAGTGTAGCACTGAGCTACACCACTTCTGAAATTAGCGTTCCATTTATACATATTGTATATATTTTCAAAAGTGGGGTAGCTCAGTGCTACACTATCGAAGCAAAGGAAAATACCTAATGACTATAATATATCATGAGCTAAAGATGATATCAGAAAATGTTTAAAAATGTTTCTAGGATATAAAAAAAGAACTTAAATACATAACTCACCCCCACCAACCTCCTATCATTGGAAAGCTAGTAAAAACAGTTTTCAATGAAGGTATACCTTCCCAAATAGCACTGGACATATTTCGCATATATTATGATCATGTTTTTTAGAATAATGAATAATTCTGAGAATATCCTTCATTTCGAGTGTTCGGCAATTGAAGTTAACAAAAATCTGTGTATTATAACCGTGTACCGCAGCTCTTCTACAAGGTCTCATTCACAGATCTTTCTTGATAAGCTAACTGATACTCTAATTTACATTACAGCTAAGTATACATTCATTATCCTTAGTAGCGACTTTAAAGTTTGATTTTAGAGAAAATTGTTACTATAAAAACAACTATTAGACATACTTCAAATGTTTAATTTGCATAGCAAACCAACATGTACTGCAATATACCGTGACAGACTAATATCAA